CCACGACTCGGTGATGTTTGAGTTGCTGCAGTGCTAGAGGAATTTCGCATCAATTTTTAAGCTAGAGCTCATGCAATGGTGCTATGGTCTGCTGAAATAGTCCCTGGGACAACCAGGATCAAGTGGGCAGTGCTGTACACCGTTAAATCTGGTATTGTAGTAGTTATGCGCTGACTGACATTCAACGAAAGAACATATTTTTAATCATTGTTTGTGAGAAAATTGCGAAGATCCTCCTAAAGAGATACATAGACATTTACTGGGATCCATGCTTATCTACCTCAGGAAAGCAAAAGCGCAGCAAAACCGACCTGGAGACTTCTGTCAGAGAACACTGTCTGCTCATGAAGAAAGAATTCGATTTGAAGCAACAAGGGCTACCCACGCTGAACTTCCTTTTGGGGTATTTGATTAACCGAGTTTAAGATAGATAAGACAGACAAAGGCTTAAAAGCAATCTTTTCGGGTCATCATCGCCCTGGTTTTGATATCGTTTCCTTGTTCGTCAGTGTACTATCCGTGAGTACATTTGTGATTGTCCGTGATATAGCAAGAAAAATATCTACCTCTTCAAACTGATTGCCAGCTACATAAATATGCAATAATTGGCAAGTTTTTGTGCCAGGTTTCGAGAGGTTTGTCCATTCAAGTGGCACAAGGGATGTTGAATTTTTTATTCCCTAACACTGTCCATCTGGCAGCACCCGGTTCTTACCCTCGTCTTGCCAAATGTCACTGTTCCCCGTTGGTAACGCAATAGTTACTTATCTTTCTTTTGAGACTAATACATACTGTTATCCCCAATCTTTCAATCCTGACTTGTGGTAGATGTTGTTGTCTCATACAAAATTGCCTTAGGAGGCATAATGAGCTACGGCGGCCTCAGTCTTCTGTGCATCATTAACTGACAAACATCGATCTTCTGCGCGACGCCAATGGCGAGGGTTGGATGCCGAAGAGTATGTCATCTATTCAAGACCGTTTCCCGTACCTAGGTCCACGCTCAGTACCTGCTCCCAGTTGAGATTCTTTATCCAAACAGAAGGTAGCCGCGTTAGACTTCATTGGCACCACCTGTTGTTTAACAGATTTGTTGCCAGATCTTTCATCCGTACTAATCTACTTACGCTGTAAATGGAAAGTACTTAACCTGCATAACATGTTTATAAACTTTAAATTTAAGCCATGTGCTTCAATCTCGTGCTTTGTTTGCAAGACGTTCTTTACCGTCAACAGTTTATAAAAGAATTGAAGTTATCTTAAGCATCATTTTTCGCTTTCTTTGATTTCACCTCTGGGCATGTTCTTTCATCTCTTGCTGTTTTAAAGCCGCAGAGCATCGTACAAGAAGTTGGGGACGCTTGAGGGGGCAGAATAGTCGCCGTCAACGATTAGATAAAGGGGAAGCCCACGGAGGAAATGTCCGAAATTATTCAAGCTTTTTTAAAGTATAAACACTGAGGTGCCAGCTTCTGGTTTTCTTGGTCCCATAATCGAGTCTTACGAAACGTTTAGTCTCCATATTTTTTGTTGCTGGTTGTGTTGGAACACTTTTTAAACTTTTTTTAGAAATTGAATGAAATCAACAAGCTCGATCAATGCTGGGCTCAGAGTCGCAGTGCTGTTTACAAGGTAATGTAATCCTCATTTAACGTTTGAGACTGGAATACATACTCTGATCTGAATAGGCTAAAAAGGAATACTTTAAAACGGCGAAAGATGCTGAGGCGGCAAAGATGAAGTACGAGAAAGCGGAAGGCGACATGAACCTCTCGCGTGCTG